CTGTTGATTACTTTGTCTCCAGTGCCAAACAAAACAAAACACAAATAAAAAAAAATAGTCTGTCACACAGTGGGTGTTTAAGAAGAAAAGGGAACGAAAGAATGAATCTATATTATAGATTATTATAGCTCTATGCTCTTGTGCAGATAGATTAGAGATACATTATTTTTATAATAGAAGATGACTGAAAACAACAAAAATATCCATTTGAGAGCATCTGATTGTAAAAATTAAAATAATGGAACATATTTCTGAATGCATATATAAAACCCTTCAAAACAAATTAAGAAGGCAAGACACTAAGCTATTATACAAGTGCAATACATTAATAAGACCTGAAATCATATAAATTAAGTCTTCCACAATCAAATGATTAAAAATCAACAATAGAAGAAGAATTAGAAAATCCCAAATGTTTGAAAAATAAATAACACATTTGTAAGTAATCTATGATCCAAAGAAGAAATTGCAAGAAAAATAAGAAAATATCTTGAGCTGAGTGAAAAAGGAAAGCATGGTATTTCAAAAGTTGTGGAATTCAGCTAAAGAAGTGTTTAAAGTGAATTTGTAGCATTAAATGTCTTTATTAGAAAGAGAACTAAAATCCTTCATCTGAGCATCTACTTCAAAAAGATAGAAAAGGAAAGTAGACCAAACACAAATAAGTTGAAGAGATGAAATTAGAAAGATTAGAGTGGAAACTATTGAAACAAAACAAACACCTCCCTCCCCTGGAAAGACAAAGAAAATCAATGAATCCAAAAGTTGGTTCTTAGATACAGAAACACAAATTACCAAAATTGATTCACAAAGAAAAAGAAAACTGGAAGAGACCTAAAACAAGAAAAGAAATTGAGTTAACAACTAAAAAGATATTTTAACAAATAAAAGCCTAGCCTAGATGACTCCATGGGGGAATTCTATCAAACTTTTAAGGCAGAAATACTATGTGAACCCAAATTTTTTTAGAAAGCAAAGGGGGTTGGCACTTTCATCCAGACAGAGACATCACATGTAAAGAAAATAACAGAATGACCCCCTGCCCAAGCAAGTTTAAAAATCCTTAGCAAAATATATGGAAACAGAATCCAACAACTTACAAAAAATAAAAAAAAAATGAGACACCATGACCAAGTGGAGTTAAACTAGGAATATAAAATTAGTCCAACATCTAAAAATTATATTACATAATATACTATTTTAACAGGATAACAAAATAAAATTACATGGTCCTTTTAATAGATGCAGAAAAAATTTGATGAAGCTCAAGACCCATTGATTATTAAAAGTCTAATTAAATAAAACTTTCTCAACTTGATAAGGGCATATAAAGACCCTGCACCTAAAAATCATACTTAATGTTCTAAGGCTAAAGCTTTCTCTTTTAACTAGGGAAGGTAAGGACGTCTGCTTGTATGTTTCCTACTCGACAGCATGCAGAGAGTTCTAGATTGTATAATAAGGCAAAGGGAAGCTTTCAAAGGCATACAAGCTGGAAAGGAGAAAAGGAAGACGTGTTACTGAAAGAAATAGTAACTATGTAGAAAATACTGTGGAAGCTACAAAAGTCCCCAGACATAAAAAGTGAGTTTGATACAGTTGCAGTGTACAAGATCAAAATCAAAATCAAATACTTTTATATATATTAGCAATGAATAATTGAAAATAACATTAAGAATAATTTTATGTACAATAATATTAGAAAGAATAAAACATCTAGGAATAAGTTTAACAAATGTACAAGAGTTGCACACTGAAGATTATAAACCGTTGCCTAGAGAAATTAAAGAAGATCAAAATAAATGAAGAGATACATATGTGAAGTGAAAGGCTTAATGTTAATCTGGGAAACTATAGATTTAACATAATACTGAAATCTCAGCAGGCCTTTTATTTAAAATATTAAAAATCCAATCATAAAATTTCTATGTCTATGGGAATGCAAAGGACCTTGAATAGTCAAGATCATTTTGAAAAGGGAAAAAAAAAATTGGAGGATTCACAAACATTCTCTGATTTCAAGGCATAACATAAAGCTACAATAATCTTGAAAGCATGCTATTAGCACAAGTAGATATACAGATCAGTGAAAACAGAATAAAGATTCTAGAAGTAAGCCTTCACATTTCTGCAAATTCAGTTTTGTCAAATGCCTACCCACTGGCAAATGTACAAGAAAGGTCCATACAATGGAATACTACTGTGTAGTAAAAGAAACAAACTACTTGGTTACACATCTATTGAATAATTCCTAAAATTTTTATGCTATGAAAAATACTATATACTCTATGATTCGACTTATAAAAATATTCTATTTACAAAAATAAACTATTTAGAAAGCAAATTTTTGGTTACCTGGGACTAGAGGTAGGAGAGGGAATAGGCAAACAATGAGAAAGAAGGAACTCAGGATGATGGATGATTCACAGATGATGGTGCTTGTTATACAACTCTAGCATTTTAGCAAAACTTAATGAAGTGTATATACTTGTAATACTTTGTAAATTTTATGGCATGTAAATTATGCATGGCACATATTTCAAAAGTTAAAAACATCCTTATAACCAAGACACTTTGAGACAAAATATTTTTATATCATCCTACCTATATCACATATAGCACATATATTCATATGTGTGCCAATAGATGATAAACTTTCTGGAAGTATATATACCAAAAACATGTTTGCCTCTGGGAAAAAGGACTTAAAAATATGGTATAGAACAGATAATTACTTTTCATTGTGTATTTTCTGACATTATTTGCTTAAAGAATTAAACCATGTACATTATTACATCATAAATAAAAAAGTAGTAGTAAATAATTAAAAACAATCAACCAACCATGGTCCTGATATAAGGACTGGGCTGGTGACCCTGCTCAGGTCAGGAGCACTTCTGAGTAGCCTGTAATAAGATCATCAAAGTGAAACTTACCACAAAAAAATGGTGCTAATTTCCGATGGGTGCACATTGTGGGAATTCGGGAAAACTCAAAAGGTCTGTGACTAGAAGTATTCTAATTATCTCAGCCTACTACATCCTGCAATTCTACACTAGCCAAAATATAAAAGCAAAGCACTCACCTCCAGCCACACAAGCAAAATGCTAACAAAACTTTGATTACCTGAGGATTAAATGAGAAAGCAAGAGAATGAGGGAGTGGGGGTGTGAGCAGGGACTATAGCTAAAAGTAGGCACACAGAAAAATGTTTTCAGAAATGTCCAAAATTTAATAACATAAATAAAGTAATATAAAATAAAGTAATAATATAAATAAAGTATTTCAAAGTCACTTTTCTTACTAAGAAGCCATTTTAAATTAAATGCAACCAAATTCATTTCTGTGAATCATGGAGTGGATCCTGCATGGTGGCTTTCTGTTATACTAACATCAAGAAACTGTTCCTAAAGTTTGATTTTTAAATTGGACATTATGAACATGACAGCTAGTTAATTAGGAATATGTGTATTAATCTTAAGCCATGGGAACAATTAAAATCCATTGTCAACATTTTAATTACCAAAATCCAATTTTGTAACAACTCCTTAAGAAGAGCAAATTTAAGGTTATTTTGTTATTCTATTAATTTCCCTTTGTAATGTAGGCACATAATACTTTTTATAGTGTTGTTCACAATTACAAAGTATTTGGTGAATCAACAACATAATACTTCCTTGAAGAGGGTGAAATAAATCACAAATGTTGCTTCTTTCAACTTTGATTTCTTTCACTTGCAAACTGACAGGGCTTTCATGTTGAGTTTAGCACTTCCAATAGGCGATCACGTATGTCTGCCATACGTTGCGTTCTTCATGCCTGAGTTCCTCACAGCACTGCTCCTTCTGAGCCATCTCTGCTGAAGCTTCAGTGCTAATTGAGACTCAACAGATAAATAGCGAGCACCTACTGCGGGACACTCAGTTCTAGGACACTACCACTGGGGGAGGTGGCATTACTGTCCTGTAGTAACAGACCAGATGTGGCTCATAGACTTTACGAGTTCTAAGTCCCACAACTGGTAGATGAGAAAACCAAGACTTCCCCTGAGTCTTTTTTTTTTTATTTTTCTATTGATCTCAATATTTTGCTAACCTCAGTTTATTTTTATTTTTTATTTATTTCTTATATACATGACAATAGTTTCTTTACATTCTGCTTTGTGGTATCTTTTTCCTCCTTCCTGCCCCAGTTTCACTGGTCAAAAAGAGTTCAGCAGCAGAGAAGTGAAAGGGGAATGCTCGGCTTTGCCCCATTCCTTCCCCACAGAGAAAGTAGAGAAGAAGGAATCAGAACTCACACCACTCTCTTCCCTGTTCCCATTTCCAGATGTCACTCAGAATATTCAGCCCAGAGTTTCAACTCTGGCCCTTTTCTATTACTTATTTCCTGGGTCGTGGGAGGCCCCATGGATAACTGTTGCTGGAGCACGGAGATAAGGTGTTGCTTCAACAACATTATCTATAATAGTGTCCTAAAATAGTGGAAGAAGTGTCCTGAAAAACCCTATTAAGAACTCTGAAAGGATATTTTTTAATAGCAACATAGCTCCTAATTATTGAGATTAATCCTTATTGAGATTAGCAAGAGTTGAACTAGCTTCCACCTCCTGGTCTGGAATCCTAGGCACAATTCAAAGCATTGCTTACATTGGAAAAGCAGGTTTCTTACTTAAATCAATGGGCAACCAGACTGAATTTTCTATAACTGGTGTACTAATGAATGTTGGAAATACAGCTCATTCATGGGGATACAATATTTACTGTCCAAGTTCATGTCAATATATTGAAAGCACTATTATTGTTGTTAGATATAAAATATGAAAATATATATTATCAAAATTAAAAAAAAAGAGTTTCCCATGTTCATGTTTTCTTCATGAAAACATTAGAAGAAAATTAGAAGCACGATTTCTTTCCCCCCTACAGAAACCTCCATTTTAACCATATTATAAAGGGTCTGGCCATTTTACTACATTGCTGAGTCAGTGTGTGTCTTACCTCCTCGATGGATGATCAAAGAAGTCTCACTTCCGATAGGGCAGTCCTTAAGTATATCCACTACTTCTGTATGGCTCAGGTTCTGTACATTCTGCTGGTTGATCTCAACAATGAGGTCGCCTTCACACAGGCCAGGGCATCCCTGAATGTCAAGTATTTGTTTCACTCGCTGTCCTGTAGGACTGTCAGCAATAGTGAAGCCAAAGCCCTGGGCACCTTTCACAATGGTTAAGGTCATAAGTTCAGCTTGGGTGGCCCCAGATGAAGCCATAGACACATTGTCGTCATGGACAGGTGGTGGATACGTGCCATCTAGCTGACCATCGGCTGGCATGGAGTGCAAAGAATGAGGTGGCCGATCTGTTATATCTGGAACTGACTGTGAGGTCCGAGAAATGTATTCCAAATAGGTTTCATAGTTATGTCTTCCATTGACCATCACTGGAGGTGGCCTCTCCATTATTGCAAGGGGTGGCACCATGCTGTTAGCAGGATCTTCAGGATCAAAGGGCAAAGGGTAGCCACGACACAATACCAGGTTGACACTCTGACCAATGGGAACAGACTGGAAAAGTTTGACAACATCTGCATGAGTGTGTCCAAGGACACAAACTTCATTAATATAGACAATGACATCACCTGCAAGGGAAAAAAGAGAGATTGACAACATGAGGTAAGTTCAATTAACGTCAACAGAGAAAAATGGAATTATTTATGAGACTAGTGAAAGAGGTGTTTGGTGTCTCAGTAAGCAGTGAGAAAATCAATTAGAATAATACTTAAATTCACTGTAGGTGACTCAAGGTTACAACAGGTCTGCCAACAAATAAAATGATCAAATACTGGGAAAAAAAGACTCTTTGGTTATTCTTGAAATTCAGAAACAACTTCATATTCAGAAAGGGAGGCTAAGAAAGAAAAGGTTAGAAGAGTTTGTGCCTTGAAGAAACATAGATTGTAAGCTTCTTTTTCATCCTCACTTTTATTTTTGGTGCAGTTCAGTTAATAGAGTTTCCAAACTACTGAGAAGTGATAGCCATGAGATTTGGATGAAAAAGGAAGCACTCGTATCTGTGTGTTTGGTACCACAGTTCTTCATTTGTAAAGTTGTTATGAAGATGAAATGATATAATGAAGGAAAAATGTTTGGCACCGTGCCTAAAACATGATGAACTCTCAATAAGGGTGGACCATTATTAAATTGTTGTTAAAATAGGATTCAAAAGATTTGGGACACTGGCATTCAAACCAGAAGCTGCTATAGGCTCATCCTCTAATCTTGGATAAATTGATATTTCTGTTGATCATTTTCAACAATGACATTTGTCTTTTCTCTCCAATGAATTATAACATATTTGCAGAGGTCTAACAGTTAGAAGCTAACTTTATGATAGGAGAAATGCCCTGAATACAAATTGTTCATTTTAAAACATGCAGAAGAATAATTTTTCCTTCTTAAAATGCAGAAAGACATGGTTGTTTGAGATAATTGTTTTAAAATTTTCAATTACGTATGAATAACAATTTTATTTTTGGAGAATTGTTCTATCATGGATTGGTATTTTTATCCTCAAAAACCATAATAATTGAAAATTGAACTTGCAAATAGAGATTGTTTCTGATTATACTGAAGAGTATAGGAGGGGTAAAGAGACATATTCTCACAGACTGTCAAATGAACAACAGTAGACATCAATTTTTCAGGATAATTCTGAAATGGATAGTGACCATGGTTAGGGATTTATTCTGAGAATTCTGTGTCCATTAAGATTGCAAACACTCAAAATGAAAACACTGAGTTTAACATTCAGAATTAAATATTTTTCTAGCTTTTAATAAGTTTGCGCTACAACATGATTTCTTCACTGAATTTACTTAAAAATAAATAAATCTATGAACAAAACAATCCTAAGTAAAGTGCCCTTGACAGCATTGACTTGATTGACACTTCTCTCAAATGCAAGAGAACTGTTCAAAGGTGCTAAGCTAGAAAACAAACATGCATTGCCAGGAAATTAGGATACGTTTGCCTCTGGAAAACATCCCAGCCATGTGATGGTCAGATGGAAATTTTCTCTTTTATTACATCTACCAGAGAGGGTGCTGGTGAGGTGACTGGGACTCTGAGTCAGGACTCAGAACTGAACTAGGATCCCCTCTCTGCTACTGTAATTCCTCTTTAGAGGGTTGGAGCAGTCAGGGAAGCTTTGGCATTATTTTCAATTGATTCTGATTATCTCAGAGTCCCAGAGAAGTGTCTAATTGAGATAGATTCTTTTTCCTTCTTTTGCCTCTTGTATTTTTAAATATTATGATATGTTATACACATTTTAAAGATTGAAAGAAAAATAAACACCTGTGTACAACCTTTCAACTTAATGATTACAAAATTGCTCATAGTAGTTGAAACCATTTTGGTTAGCATCTTGTCTCCTACTTGTGTTCCCATATTGCCATTTCCAAAAATAACCATTGTCCTGCATTTGAGGCTTGTCATTTACATGTGCTTATGTCATACTTGGATACTCATAGGAGATTATTTCTAACCCCCAGATAACGATAATCCCTAAAATGCTTTGCATGTTTTATATCTTTTGTAAATTTAACATTTTAATATTCTGTTTCCTTAAAATGTATTTGTGATACTCATCTATTTGATACTTATATCTTTAATTCATTAATTTTCATTGAAACATATTATCTATTGAATGGCTATATTACTATTTATTAAGATTTATTCATTTTCTTATTAATAGACACTTGGCTTCTTACAAATTTTTGCCTATTAAAATTACTCTTGTTATGAACCTCTTTCCATGGCTCCTGTGCTCTGTGGGAGTGTTCTTCTGAGCTATGAACCTTGTCATAGAATTGCTGAGCACAGGCCATGTGATCTTCCTGTTAGATAAGGGCAAAAGATCAACAAATGGGTCATATTGATTAACACCATAATTGGTAGTGTGTCAGAATTTTCATTGCTCCTCATCTGGCACAACACTTGTTATACTCAGACTTAATTTTTATAAATCTAGTTGATGTGATCATGGTTTTAACTTGCATTTCCCAGATTGCTAGTGGGGGGTAAGCATGTTTCCATATATTTATTGACAATTTGGGTTTCCTCTTGATGCATCTCATTTCCCCAATATTCCTATTTGGTGACTCTTTTTTATTTTTCCCATTGACTATTTTTGATGACCACATGCATTCTTTATTCAACATTCTCTGTGGGTTGGGAGACTGCCTGGGATAGCAGTAAGACTGGTCTAGACTTTCACTCCATCACCTACCAGCTGTGTGACTTCCAAAAACTCACTTGAATCCTCTGTACTCAGAGCCTTCTAAAGTAATGAAGAACAATAATAATATCAACTTATTGTTTTCTTGGAAATAACTTATAAGACTATGAAAGGTTTGTAAGCTGTAAATTATCATGCAATGATGATTGCTATTTTAGTAGTTATTATTTGTCCTTGATTTTATCCCTCTATAAAATCCAAACATTCCCATCAAGATACCCCCATGAGAGTGACAATCAAGGACAACTTGAATATGACTGTGGAAGCACTGGGTTTCAGAGTGAGCAACAAAAGGCAGGAAGGTAACGGATGCCACTTTCCTCTAAAGCTTTCCCTAACTTAACCAATGCTGATGAGCCCCTCCCCAGTCCCCAAGCATATTTTATTTTCCCCTCCCTTCTGCTAGGGGAAAAGAACTAAGGGTAATGCTCAAAGCTTTCTAGGTTCCAATGCCAGGTCTAAAGAATAGTCATTTGAATTATATTGATTAATGTTACTTATTTTTTTTAATTTTTAATGTGATCTTTCTATTTCAAAATGGAAACGAAAACTGTCTATGATTCTTAGTTAGGGTGCCTTTTAAAATTTATGGATATTTTCCACTCAGAGCAATTTTTCAAGCCATCAAGCAAGCAATAAAGAATGCCGCAACAATATCTTTAGGAGTTACATAGATCTCTGAATGTAAAAGATGAGTGCTCAGTTATCAAAGCATAAAACTATCTAACACCTGACAGTACTAAACTGTCCACTTTAGATGCCTAGATAATGTGTCAAGTCAAAAAAGTTCTGAAGACAGAGATGTAAGCAAACATTTGCTTGTGCAGATAGAACTGATTGGGTAGGATATTTATAGACTGTGCTGTATGAATGTCATTTACATGTTGTGAAAGAAAAATATGAGCCACCTGGTATATATCATCCCATAGTGGCAAGCCAACTCCTGAGAAAGACTGGGTTTAAGAGCACAAAAAGAGATGTCCTTAGGAACTTTGGCTCTAGCTCCAACCTTCTGGCCTACTTAAGAGGGAGAATGGTAAAGGAGTCATTTGATCTTGCCATCTCTTAACTTCTTTTATAAAATGGGAATTAAAATATCTCCTCCATTTCCTTGGTTGCAGGGCTACTGTGAGAATGAGATCATGCTTGTGAAAACACTTTTAATTTTACCAAGGAAAGGTTTTCTGTAAAAATAAGATGATACATTTTTTTGAAAGCTCAGTGCATATTTTCATAACTATATTGCCTGGAAGGGTACATTGTTTCCTACACGGCCATATTTAGGCCAGATAGTCTTAGGGCTATTGACCTGAATCCTCTTGGTCAAGATGAGTGTGACTGATGAGACTGGTGTCCCTGTAGGTGTGGTCTCACAATGACCTGACTCCCAACCAGGAGTTTTAAAGAGCAAGTGAGGGAGAGTGAGGCTGATGAAACAGGAGGTTTAAAATTGTCCTTTATGAGAATATGTTCTAAAATAATCTCTCTCTTAGTCATGGAAATCAAAATGCAGCATTGGATAGCTCATGGACACCTCATCATTTTGGATAAAACAGGGCACTTTTCATAAAGCATTGTTTAAGTTGGAGTTATTTTTGTGTATCTCTACTCCCACCTTCTTTGAGTCACTGTGGCCTATAGAATCTTCTTTTTCAGCGTCTCTTACTAGTGCTGTCTACTTTCCTTAAGCACAACCTTGGACTAGACTAAAATAATTCTCATCTTAGAGTCCATTTCATCAAGTTCAAACTACTCATTCTCTAGACCTACTTGTCCACCCTCTTCACTAATAGTCCTTCCTACTTATTTCTCTCTTCACCAGCCAATAAGTTACCATCTTATGAAGCTGGATCTTTACTATTCACAACTTCCAACTTGCATTTTGGTTGAATTCTGCTAATCTTCTATGATCATGTCTAATTCCTTTCTATGGATAACTTCATCCCAACAAATTCATTTCTTTCCTTCCTCTTGAAAGACGTCTTCCATTTTTCCTACTCAAATCACTCCCATCTCATGTTTGTGACTTGAAAGTTCATTTTGGACCATATTCTTCTGTGGGATTCCTACCTATTCCCAGTTTTCCCCATAATATACACAGAACCATTACTATGCTGAAAATTCTTTAGATATCTAGGATAGATTCTCACTGAATACAGGATGGAAAGATTTAATCAGAGGAAAACTGGAAAAGATTTCATAGCTAAATTTACTACCTCCACTTTAGTGTTTCTAACTTCTGCTTTTTCCAAGTCAAATAGATTTCTGAAAAAAGCCAAAAAATTCTCACTACAGCTCCCATTCTACCAATTGCATGCACTCTGCATTAAAAAATTATTG